TCTGAAGAGGTAGTAAAAGAACATTTCCTAAATCCTCTTCTATACAGGAGACCCTAAATTCTCCTCATTCACATGAATGACTGTAAATTTCAACTAATGAATCTGACTGATAAAAACAAAAGAAAAAAAGTAGAATGTGACATGCTAGTAATAAATCCAATTAAGAAAAAGCAGCAGGAATATACACAAGGTCATAGGCAATAATTTTGTAGGATCTTACCTTCACCAGAGTATCTGATAATCCTGTTCTCTGTGGAGTCATATTCTCTGAAATTATTATAGTAGCTAATAGTCAGGTTTCCTTCATTGTAAAATTTTCACATTAAAATGCTTCAAAACCAGCTGTAGTCCAAATATATATCCTTTTGGTGGACAGTCTGGACAGTCCTAACTAGTAATAATCACTTTAGTCCTTTGGCTTGGGTGGTAGGGACTTCAGGGCTAAAGTTGTTGATTCGAGGTGATGCCAGCAGGCATGTAATGGATAGACAAATATATCCCCTGGAAAACCAGAGAATTTTCTTACCTAGGAACTTAGAGTCTTAAAGACTTCGAGTATTTTCTCTACCTCAGCCACGACATTGGATGTGCAGAGAAAGACACCAATGTCCTTTTCTGCAGGGCAGAGGAGGGGGAAAGATGTGCCTGCAGCTGGGCCAGCCGGCAGAAGCTCCCTGCCCAGAAGGCAAGTCTGTTTGCTTTTTAGTATATGTTCTGTCCAGGTTTGCATTCACCACTTTGTGTTACAAATGTTGGGGTGGCTTAAATTAGGTAGGCTGTCTCACAAGCATCTAGCCTGCCTCACCTCCTTTTCAAAACAACCAAATGATAATCAAATTGTAAGGATGGTAAGTAGATTCTTGTGCAGGAATATCTGTGTCCCCCTAGATGAGCCTTTAATTTACCCACTTCATGAAGAAAAAGTATTTAAACCCTTAACCTGACTGATTATGATGTTTGAGGGTCTTGTCTCATGCATGTTATTTTGGAAAGCTTCTTGGGGAATGTGTGGGATCTCTGATGAATAATAATTTTTGGCGAAAAAAACAAGAAAGAAAACAAGATACTCCTTAGAATTTATCGCTTTTTTTTTCTTTTTTGATTGGCTTATAATTGCATGTCTGCATAATTTACAAGCTCTTATTCGCTGTTAGATAAAAGGGAAGTATGGAATCCTGAGTTTCTAGCCCTGCAAAAGTGGTGTAGATCATTTATTTTAATGACTGGATCATCTAGCCAGTTAACAGGATGGCCAGGCTCTTGCAGTGAAGTGCTGTAACATCTGCAAGGGTTTTTCCCCAAACACTGGTCTTTACCTAAAAATACTTATCCTGTAAAGCTCCTTTTGAGTGGATGGACGCAGTCATTGTTGGTGTGGTTATTGATGAGTGCTTTTCTTCTGTAAAATGGTATTTTTGCAAATATTCTTTTATTGTAAGTTTCTTCTAAAAAATACCCAAATCCTGCAGTTTGCATAAACAGCAGCACAAGCACCAAACATTGGGATCATACCCACACATTTTGATTTGGTTGCTGTTGGGTCTGGAGAACCTTCTTACTTCATCCATTTTTCATCTCTATGTTGCATTTTTCTGCCATGATTTGGGTAGAAAAATGTGGTAAATCAGGCACAGAAAGACGATTCAGCTGTGACAAGATAAATTCAGCTGAAACCTTCACTCAAGGGACCCAAATGACATGAGAGTAGGACCTGTCTGGTGTCTGCAAAGGAGGTTACTGGTGCAATGCTCTGCTGCTGTTCGCCCTGCTGGGTACCTGGCTCAGGCTGCCTTGGGGCATAGCAGGGCTGCACTTGTTGGCGTGGCTCTCTGTGATGGACATTTTGGATACGTGACATGGATGTTGTTTGAACTTTTCCGTGAGTTGAAGTGCTCCCCACCCTGTTCGCCCCACTCCTACAGAGCCCTGTAGGGGCACAGCCGCACGGAGTCACCTGGGATGAAAAATTACCAAGGGAGCAAACCATGCAGCTATTGCACAGCTGTGGGCTAGCTGCAAGTGAAGTCATAAGAAGAATTTTTTTCAGAACCTTGAGGCTTAAATCTTAGAGATTTCCTGGGTATTGCACAAAGCACCCACATCGGCACAGGGCTTCTTTAGGACTAATGTGTTTGATAAGTGAGAAATCCAAAAAGGTGTTTTTTCTAAGATTATGATAGTGAACTTTTGGTTGGCAAACTAATCCAGGACACAGCAAGCAGTCTTCAAAAACTGTGGTGGAAAAACCAGATCACAGGAGAGGAATATGTGCAGCATGCCAGCAGCAGGAGGAAGATCACAAACACCAACCCACAGAGAGCTGGAGGCTGCAGAGCAGTGTGAGTACAACTGTAGTTTCCTCTCAGTATGAAAGAGGGAATTTAAAGATCTCTGTGACTATTGTGCTGTCTGTCAGCAGGAGACTCCTGCAGCCTGTGGGAGATGCTGCTGAGCAGTCAGGGCTGCCTCACAAGCAATGGGCCCATCAGGCATTGTTTTTCTGAGAGACAGGGTACCACAGGAATGGAAACCTTTTAGCAGGGTTGTTGGTTAGTTATTCCTAGAAGCAGTAAGCATGAGTAGTGCTCTCTTACTATTTTTTTTTCTGCATATCTCTTTAGTGAAATTTTCTGCTTACTGTGCTAAATTGCAATTTTAGACTGGAGACTTCACAAGCTAAACTGTCTGATTTTCGGGTATTTGTACCTGCCACAGAGGAAAAGAACAGCCGTATTATACTTTGCAATTCATACCGTGTTCCTTTGTTCCTTCAGGCTCTGCCACCATGCTTTAAAATGCTGAGCACGTATTTGTGCCTTTGCTTTTCTTGATTCCTATGGAGTCTGGGGTATTCCACATGAATGCAGCTAAGTTCAGAGTGCTAGCAAAATATGTTACTCTGCATAATACAAGTTAGTTTAAAAAAGGATATATGTGTATGTATGTATGAGAGGTGTAATGCAGCCATGCTTTCTGGTTGTTGCTCTGAAGTCTGCACACCAGAACAAGTGAGTTTGTTTTATGCCTCCCAAGAGGGGTCTTGTGCAGTGTTTGAGGTATGTGCTGAAAGACCTCATTGGTGATGCAAACACTTCAGCTGTCATTGACTCATAAAAAAGCTCGGAATAGGAAGGTCTGTAGGAAATTGATTTTCTTTAATCCCTTTGTGAAATGCCATGCGGAATATTGATCACCTTGGTATGAATGATTTAAATCTCCCTCCAGCATCAACTGGAAGGCAAAGAAGTTTTTATCTGAGATTTTTTTTTTGGTTGAAATCTTGTGCTTGTCATTTGAATATTAAGATGTTTGGGATGTTCACAGACCCAAAGGCAGCAGAACTATGGTTTCTCCTCAGAAATAGTTGCTATTTAAACTGCTGGAGATTTATTGTTTCATGCAGTGTTATGCCATATATGACTATTTTAATAGCTTTACAGTGAATAACTAGAAACACATTGTAGAAATATTACTCTAAATATAGTATGTTCTCTTTGGAGAAGGCTCAAGATGACTCAAGATTCTCTTAGCATCAGCTTTATTAAGGCTCTTCACTACTAGAATTTATCAGCGTGGAGCATATTTTGCAACTAATATTAATGATGAGAAATACAGTAATAGAAAATCCCTGTGGAAAAAGAAATAAGTTTTAAAATACGTTTGTATTATGTTTTTATAAGTAAGTTACAGTTCTGTGTTAGAGCTGAATTTTTCCAATATTTTTTTCTCCTCTACCCTCTATAAGGGCAAATTCATGAATGCATAAAGTGCAGAGTGCTCTCTGGGTGGAAGGAGGGATAGACCTGTAAGGCACCTTATTTGCTTGGTATTTATAGGGACTTATTACTTTGGTCCAACAAAATATTAGTGAGTTTTTGGAAATTACCTTGCGTGGCAACCAAGCAATAGTAAATAATGGCTGTTTAAACTCCCTGTCATATGAGGAATATTTTGACTTGAAGACAGTTTATTTGACTAAATAACATATATTCCCAGAAATTTCTAGCAAGATCAACCAGTGTAATCATAAATCAGCAGGCTGTGATATTCACCTTCCCTTTCTCCTGATTGCTCCAGCATTTACATTGCCTTGTTCTGCTAGATCATCACAAGTACTATCTCTGTGGGACTAATCTATTCTGCTGTGCACAGAAGCAACAGGAAATGTTTAAAGAGCTTCCACTACATGTGTATCTGTGTGCATGTGTGTGCTGTAGAACTGTCATGGAGAGGAGAGCTGCACAGTGAGGGTCTTCAGGGCAGAGGGGGACTAGGGTTGGAAGTGAGGATACCCTAGTCCCAGTGATGTGCTCAGCTGAATCCAGTCTGAAACTGTGATGCAGGTTCCTATCCCCTGTGAAATCTTCATGAAGTTCAGCTGCAGATCTCATCTACATTCAGCACATTGAACTCTCCCTCAGCAGCACTATTAACCTCACTTATTATCACTCTCTAGGTTAATGATGGGTATCTGATCTGCATAGCAATCGTCTCTCTTTTGTCGTGTTCATCATGGCCTCAGCTATGTTATTAAGTAGCAGAAGTGAAACACAGGATAATCCCTCACAAAACAAATGACTGTAACTATGTCAAAATATGGTTCTAAGGTAGTCGAATCTGATACACTGGAACTTGATGTTGCCTTTGTCACCTGTCTGTGACCTGCCCAGGGGACCGTTCTTGGCTGAGCAGAGAGGTAATCAGGGCTCCACAGCAAGGCTCTGCCCAGCTGTGAACCCAGCGTGCCTGTACCTGGCTGTTCCAAACACCCCCCCACTTTCTGCCAGTCCTGGTATCAGTACACCATTTCAGTATAATCTATAATCTGCTGGAATACAGAAACTGAGGCTTCCTTTCTCCTGGAAGCTGATTTAACACAAGTGTTCCTGTGTGGCAGCTCATTCTGAGGATATGTTGGTAGGGCTGCTCTGCAAACTGGTGAGGTGGGCATGGCAAGAGGCAAACTGGCTGGAGGTGCTCCCAGCAGTGCTGTCATGTACCAGGACCGCCACCTCCAGCCCTGGACTCTGGCAGTGCCCCCACGACTCTGCCAGCACCAGGCGGAGCGGAACCAGATGCTTCTCCCCATGGCATTGCCACCAGCCTTGTGAGTTCAGGGGCTTGCTGCTGCTTATTTTCAGGGAAGATTTGCCCTTGAGAGGAGGAAGTGTGGTGCTGAGTACAGCAATGATCTGGCAAACATACAAAACGGGACGTAAACCAGCTGGGGATTCCTGGCTGGAAATCTTATGCAGCAGGAGCTGCACTTCAACAATTAACCCAAGACGTACTACTCATCTATGCTTAAACAGTCAGTCTAGCTTAACTGCACTTTGGGTATCACCTTGATTTGTGGCACAGTTGCAGTTTTAAAACAGCCTGCTACTTTTTGCTTAGAGCTGAATTCCTGTTCTGTGAATGCAGTATTATCTTCTTGCTATTTTTAAGCAACTTAGTCTTTTCATAATAGATTTTTCTCACCTATCAACTATCTCACCTTAATGCATGCATGCAAACACACACTACACGCATGGTTTTGCTCTAGTGATAAAGCTACCTGGGTTTCTGACAACCTTATTCCCATAAAATGAGATTGAGGTCATAATATTCACATATGTCACTCAGACATGATTTCCAACTTTCAAACTGAAGAAGGGAAACTAAGGAACTAGGCACAAAGCTCAGTTTTAAATACACATCAAGCATTAAAACATCGATGATTATTCTCATAAAAACAGGAATCTCTCCTTACTATGCTACAACCATGTGAATTCCCATGTTGCTCCTGCTTCGTGGAACACACCTTTGTTTTGCTCCTCTGGCTGCAGTGAGATGCTTCTAGAGTATCATTGTTCAGTTACTGTTTACCGCCATAGTGATACCACTCTAATTCACCATTGATGGACAATTTTTTTGAGCCAGATTTTTTATATCATGAGGCCTTTTTTCCACTGGGACTAAGCATTTCAGGGTGCTAAGCATGTTGGTAGGCCCTAGAATAAGGTCTGGAGCGTGAAGCACTCAGGTGTAGATCTCATGCAATAGTGCATGAACAGTTTTCCAGACTGGAATTTTTGTCCTGGAGCAAGGGAACATCACTGCTGGTTTCTGGTATCTGAGCTACAACAAGCCATTCGTCCCAAAGGGGGCCAATGTGGTCCTTGTGTGTGTTTATAGGGATTCATCAGCCTTTGGTTTGGAAATCCTAATTCAGTTGAAGGTTTAAGCACAGCACTACTGGCCTCATATTTTTCATCATTTTTGGGTTTAGTTGAGGGTAATGAATAATTTGGAAATTTATGTAAACAAAGCAGAAACAAAAGCATGTAAAAGCTTTTGTTTAATTGAACTGAGATTTTGAGTGTTACTCTGTGGTACAGGTAAGCTGTGTTCAGTATAGGATGGAACTTTGAGGGCTGAGAAAGATTGAGGAAGTTTTTTAGAAAAAAATACAAATGGTACAGAGAGGATAACCAGAGAATGACTGTTCACTGGGATCTCACAGTCTGAGACACCCAGTGGAAATACCAGTCAGTGGGTTTGAAACAAAGAAGAGGAAGTTCTTCTCTGCACAATGCATGCTTAAATTGGAGAACTCGTCATCACAGGATGTTTGGGAGGCTAAAGGTATGAATGGGTCATAAAAAGTCAAGCCCATGGCAAATAGGCACATGTGAGGGTGTGAGCTCTGGCTCAGGAAGTGTCTACGCCAGTGAGTGCTGGCAGCCAAGGCTGTGCAGTGGGACATGTGAGACATGCTGCTTTCCACTTTCCCTTCCTCTTTTGACTTTTTATGGCATCTCATCACATCAGCTCCAGGCTGTAAAATAAGGAGGAAAGAGGAACTGAGATGGCTCTCACGTGTTCTTCCCCGATAGTTTTCCTGGCTGATGCACAGGCTGAGATGGGTGGTAGAACAGCACACACCTATGCACTCTAGAAGTTATTTCTGGCAGGAAATGTTCTGAGAACTGTGGTATCCGGAGGTAGTTTGGTAATGAAATGTGAGAGGAAAAGCAGCATGGTGGTCACTTATCTGACACAGAGATCAGAGACCTTTGGACCAGAATGTGACAGCCTTGCTGCCGTGAAGGACACCAAAAATTGGGTTCAGTTAGGCAATTACTAACAAAAGCACAGAGCTGACCGGCAAGAAGCAGTGAGGACCACTGTATGCAAAGCCCTCTGCACACACAGGTAGCTGCTAGAAATGAGCCCCTCAGCTATGCACTGGAAATCTCAAGACGTAAGTCAGAGGAGGAAGTGCAAGAACCTGCTTTCTTTACATATGGCCATTTGTGTCACACACGTTTCTCAGACATAGCAGGAAAATATTCTTCAACTATCCCTAGAAGTCCTTTAGATTGGAAATCTAACGCAGCCTTGCAATTCTGGAACCTCTTCTTGAATCCTTTTATTAAAAGCACAAAGCTACAAATAACAGAGTTGGGAGAAATTATATATTTTATGCTTAGGATAAGCAAGCTGGAACTGTACCATCAGGCTCTGACATGGCATGTTGCTCAGCCATTTTTTAGATAATTACAAAAGAATTGTGCTTTCTGGACCAGATTCATTCTTTATTTTCTGAAAGACTCCTCAGTTGCTCTGCTTTTCTGGTAAGGAGGGTCCAAAGGAGGTTTTTAGAACTTGGCCTGAGTTTTCCTCAGTAATACTGCTGGTGTCTCAGGACTTACTGCTCAAGGACAGACTGATCTTGGGACATTGACGTCTTGGAAGAAAAGTAAAAAGCAAATTTAATTAAATAGCTGAGATTTTGAAATATATAATACCTTGAACAGCTCAAAATGAATCTCTCTCCTAGGAACAGCCCATTTTAGCATTTCAAACTTTTATTGCTCAACTTTCTTTTTTTTCCAAATTGAACTGCTGACAGCTAAAATGCTACCCCATTTAGTCAGCTGACCTCAAATGCTTTCATTTAGCCACAATGGGCTACTCCAATTAAAGGAAAAAAGAGCAGAAATAATGAATATGAAGCCATTTTTGTAAGGGACATCTAAACACAAAATGACTGATGGCTGAGACAGGGAAAGGAGATTTCTCATTTAAAGGCCTGGCAGATAAGGAAAAATCATTGCAGATGCATGGAACATAGCTCTCAGAAATACAGTCCCATCCTGTAGCCCCCACACGAGTGTCTGTGCAAAGCTTCCTGTAGGACTGTGAATACCTCAGTGGAAATACTCAAGAACCATCTGGATGCAGTCCTGTGCCATGTACTCTGGGATAACCCTGCTTGAGAAGGGAGATTGAACCAAAAGGCCCACTGTGGTCTCTTCTAGCCTAACCCATCCTGTGATTCTGGGACCACACATGGGGCTTCTGGGGCTTCAGAGGTGACTCCTGTGGACTGTGACTCAATGCTGAGGATGGTTGGCTTAAAAATGTATTGACTTCCTGATGAGAGGTCTGGCTTATGTGGTGTGGCTTCAGTATGTACAAAATTCAGCTTTTTCCATGTGCTGGTCTGGATTGAACATGGGGCAAGGACCAGTGTCCTCTCACAAGAATGAGAGTGCACCTATGAATTTTTCTGCCTGTGGTAAAAGTGGACATGCTTAATCCTGACTGGGATGTGGAAAGCAAGAACAGGGTGGGTCATGCTCTGGGGGGACATCCTCACCATTCTTTGACTGTCCATGTTGAGCTGAACACTTTTTTGGCTAATGTGCAATGGGATGAAGCAGAAAATCATGCCATAGGTTGCTTTTAAGACAGATATTTAGATCTCAAAGAGGTTTAGATGCTTAAAGCTCTGCTAGAGTGGAAAGGTGAAATTCTGCCCTGTCAGTCATAGATTTTATTTTTTTTTTGAGAGTTCAAGTAAAATTGATATGCTTTACTCTGAAGCAGTGTTGGAGGGCTGTATTTACACAGAGGCAGAACTTGGTAAAGCCGTGTTGGACCTGCGCCTCAAGTAAGACAGATGAAATTTTCCAGGTACACAGTTTTGAATGGAAGAGTTTGCACAAAAAAGAGATAAATAATAATGGCATTGGTCCAAGTAACCCTTGGCTGTGATATTTGATTCTGCTTAATTTTAAAAATGCATTTTCCAGTCTGGACCACTGGAAACATTTCTGTTGAATCCCTGTGATATTTTCCCAGTTCTTGCTTTGCTGAGGTATCTGGTGCTTTGGGCCTGCTTGCTTGTTGAAAGGACTGCTTTTCCTTGGTTTATTTGATTGGTTTTGCTCTTTTTTTGCTTGTTTGATTTTTGGTAGGGTTTGCGTGTGTGTAGGGGGGGTGTTGTTGTTAGGGGTTGTTTGTTTTGGGGTGTTTTTTTTTGTTTGTTTTGGTTTTTTTGGTTTGTTTTGCCTTTTTTCCTTTTTTCAGTTAACATAGCAAATTGACAGTACCAATTAATCACATGGCTCCTAAGCAAGTGATAGCACAAATCTCTCAGGAACTTTCAGAAGGGCTGCAGAGGTCTGGTCGGCAAAGTCCTGCTTAAAACAAAATACCTTAGTAGCTCTCAGGAGCAAAAAGCAAGGTTTTGTAGGCACAAATATAAATTTTCCATGAAACCAGTTAGCATTATGCAAAGTTTGTTGTTGACTCAGCACTTTTAACAGTTTTTAACGTGATTTCTTGGAACACTTACTCTCTCGAAGCCGTTGAATTAGTTGATCTTCTGAGAACTTCATATTTGCCCTCATTTTGAACTCCTTAGTCAAGTTCCATGAAATGCTAATAGTATGCAGTGCAGAGTGCTTTAAAAAGAAGGCACCATAACAGCTGCAGAGCTTATATTTCTGCAAAACATATATTTTTTAAAATAGAATTCCCCATGTTCAATATCCAGGAAATGTGGCCCAGGAGCACCAGGTTTGTGAATAAGGGTGGAAAAGAAAGATCTATGATTATGAGTTGGACAGAAAGGTTCTGTAGCCTGCTGTTAGAGCTTCTTATTCAATTATCTATTTTAGAGCTGCTTGAATAGAAGAAGTCAAAGTGAAATGTGGGCAGGAGAACATCTGTGGTACCACAATGACTATTCAGGGTATTTTTATTTGATTGTCAGTTTTAGTTTCTTGACAAAATATAATTTACATGTAATTTCTCAGAGAACTTTATTTTTACTCTAATGAATTCTTTCTCTTATAATAAATTGAGATTAACCTATTTATTTTCCAGAGGAACCCTGAATGTTAGTGAAACTTCTGTGACTTGAAAAAGGCAAATTAATTCCATATTCCATTGTTTTTGTATTTCTTAATAAAATTAAATATAATTTTAAAAGTCAGGTCCCAGATTCACTAGGTTTTGGAAAGGAAAACTAATAGTCTAACTGTGGCTTCATTGCAAACCTTGATCACAGTGACAAGAAACAGATTTTTTCAGATAAATAAAGTTTGTTCAGATGATTTGTGAACACCATGTTCATTGATATTTTTACGATTTTTGTTCATAATTATTTGCAAGCAGAGTTCCTGTGCTGCGGTTATCAGGGGACAGGGAGGAAGGGACTGGCTCTACCAAGGGGCTTTCAGACCATGAGCTCACTGTGCATTTCTCATCCTTTCTCTGCAGCCTTTGTGTGGTGCTTGTGTGGTCAGGGGTTCTTGACCTGAACAGGTCCCTGCTGAAGCCCCTGAGACATCCCACTGGCAAGTAACAAAGGGATTTTCCAGCATAAGAGAGATTCTTCGCATGCCAGCGCAGGATTTCTGTTTTAAAAAAATACATATTTTTCTCAACATATGCTTGACTAAACAGTAAGAGTACGTGTGCCAGGTTGGGGGCAATGAGGGCACTGTGTCAGCAAAGAAACAAACTCCCAGGGTCCCCAGTCAAGGGAACTGTCTTAACAAGGAGTCCAGTTTTGGTTTTGCAAAACTGCTTTCTAG